GTCCCAAGGAATGGTTTTATTTATTTTTTTTAAGTAATTAAGCTTTTCTTTACCATGATGTTTCCCCATAGTCAAATTAGTAACAGCAAACTTAGGCTATAGGAGGGTTTCCTTGATAAAAAAAAGAAAAAGAAAAAAAAAGGTGGATATAGATTTGATTCCTGCCAGGAGACAACTTTCTTTAGTAAGACTTCTGTGCTGAAACAAGTGTGATATTAGAGAAACTTGCAAAGAACTCATGTTAGTTACTGTTCATAGTAATGGAAAACATCCTAGAAAGTTGAATTTGTTTTTTTATTTTTGATATTGGGAAATGGAATAAAAGTAAATCATTTATATTTCCATCCCACTTTTTAAATTTTAGTCTTTTAAACAAGCACCATATTATAATTTTACTTGTTCCTTAGTTAGTTAGTATGTAGATTATTACACCCTGCAAATACCTCATAAGTGGACTATTCCCTTTTAATCAAGAGAAAAGCTGGTAAAAACTGTTCAGAGACACTTAAGTTTCAGGGAAGAAATGAAGAAAAGGAGGAGAAAAAGGAGAGAGAAAAGAAGAAAAGGAAGGAAAGAAAGAAAAGAAACACTGCTAATACTTCATAAATAATTTAATTTTAATCAAGTGGAAAAATAGAAAAGACCTATCAGAGATGCTGTTTGGTTTCAGTTAGAAAAAAAGAGAGAAGATAGGCAATAACACTCGTATTTAATATCTGCTTCAGTGAAATGGAAAAGCTTGTCAATTTAAAATCTTTTGATTGTTATTGCATTATTTTGTTGTTAATCTCAAATATTTAATGATGCAATAGGGGAATTTCCAACATGTATTTTATAGTGATAGAACTTTATAAGAAGCTTATTCAATTATTAACTTAAGAATTAAGATTCATCAGAATATTAAAAAGGAAAATTGAAATTTTCATGGGTATTTCTAGTTGACATTATTGTGTCTTGAGAAGATTTTATCTTCTGAATAAAAAACAGTGACAACTTTGATGGGGATAAGCTGTTACCTTGAATTCTTTGCAGGTTTCCATGACATCAAACACATTTCAGAACAGTCGATAGTACTTGTACTAATAGTACTTTTTAAAAATTGTGGTCCAAACAGTCATGTGGTGATGTCAGCTTTTTAATTATTAGTTTATCATGAATTATATTTCAGTGAAGTATTCATAAATCTTGTTATGAGTCATTTATATTTGCTTAGAATTGTGATCAGTTCAATAGCAATAATGAAAATAACTGAAGTGTCTTGGCATTGTGAAAGGACTTTCTTGACATTACATGAAGCCGGGTAATATTTCCTGGGATGTTGTAACAACTTTAATTTTTTTTTTTTTTTACTGTATTATTTACAGTTGGACTAATGTCCTCATTTTTTGTTGTTATCACATTTCAGTCAGCGCACTTCAGCCTTCATCAGGTGTCAATGTAGCCTTCAGGAAATTTTGTACTGAAATCTTTAATCTATGGGAGTAGATTGTTCTCATTCTGCTATTTATGTCCAGGGATATATTACCCACCCAACACCTTTTTTTTTATGAACAAGATGAAATAGATATAGACAGTGTAACAAGAACAATCTATCTCTGTTGATTAAATAAAGGGTTCAGTTCAAATTTCTCTGAAAGTTACCCAGATCAACAGACAACTGAAGAAGTCTAGAGGGCACAACAGCCAAAACATTGTGATACCAACAACAAGGATGAAGCTATTAGTCCAACTGTAAACAATTTAAGTAATTCCTCATTCAGATAGAAATTCAGCATGTTGTTAAAATATATTATTATAAATTTATAAATTATTTTTATTTTATTATCTTAAAAAAATAAATAAAATAAAAATCCAGGTTGATGCTGAAGTGATACTTCATTGTTTAATGTCAGAACTTACATCACATTTTAAAAATGCTGTCCATGTTTTATGGTCCTTCAAACATGCAGGTTGTCTGTATTTGGTTTACAGATAGCTGTATTTTCTTTTCCATCTCATTAATTTCATGCCTTACTATGTAGGGTTTTTCTATGAACAATGTACAGTCAAGTAAGCCCTATATATAGGTGGAGCTTTATGACATCACAGTTTGTAAATATGCTGTTATTGGCCACAGTTTTGTATTAAACCTGAAAAATTACCAGACTTAAAAAAAATAAAGTTATTATACTTTTAACAGTTATTTTTTTTTATTTTTACAAAATGATTTTCAAATTCAAATAACTATCAAATAAATTAAAAATTTGTGTGCTTATTTAAGTAACATAAAAATGTGTTAAGATTAAACCATTGTCAAATTGCAGGCAAACTTAAAAGGAAAAAACTTATAAACATCAGTATACACTGAATGTTTCCATATCCTCTGGAATGACTGTCACTCAAAACAAAGTTCTAAAATCACAGACCCACAAGGACAGAGATATGCTGCAAGACATAATTGATGTATAGCAGGTTATAGAATGAAGATTATTCTTTTCTGGGGCACCTTTTAAAGAATCATCATCTTTTGTCAAATCAAATATCTTCAGTGGGCAACAGAGATTTGGAAAGAGAAGGTCGATCAGACAAATTCTCTTTTCAAAGCAGAGAAAGTGCAAAAAAAAAAAAAAAAAATTTATAATAATAATAAGTAGTAGTAGTACATGGAGCTCACTCAGGTTGCTAGACATCTCCCTGCTGTTGCTGTGGAAAATCCCCCTTAATTTTTTTTTTTTTTTTTATTCAAAGTCAAAACATGATTGATATATTTGTGATGCAATTAATATTCTTTCCAACTATCAGACAAATCATTGAAGTGTCAAAATCTGTTCTTTTATCAGAAATGAACAAGATATAAAGAGAGATAAATACATACTGTATTCTTGTATGAATATTTGACCACTACATGTCTCTGCAGGATGCAAGAAAGCATCACTCATAAAGAAGAACAAAACTTAGAATGACCTAGTTGACCTTACAGCATCACAAATTATCATCATAGTTGATAAAACTGTAACAGCACAGTTAAAAATCACATTTTAAAAGCTTCACATGATTACTAGGGGCAAGGGAATTCACTCCTAACTTAATGGTAAAATAAACAGACCTAGTCAGGCATGTCAACAGAATGTTTTGAGTGGGGAGAGAGTGGTCTTTAAGTCAAGAAGAACACCTGTAATTGATTCATTCATTTTCTATGGCCTATCAACACTTTGCAAGTTATTAAAAGCTAGAAAATATTTTTAGATTGTAAGAATTTTTATTTTTCTGGGAGAGATAATAACAGTTTTACTGATAGAAGTCTTACTAATTAACCCATACCTGGGGGGTGAAGAGGTGGATTCATACCTTTCCCATGTGTATTTGTGTATGAATGAATATAACAAACCCAACAGGAATTGGAACTCAGCTCTTTGATTAACAATTCTGAGCCATTACCCATTACACAATCTAAGCTTACAGAACCTGGTATTCCCAAGTGGTCACCCATTTAAGTACTGACCTGGTTCAACATTGCTTAACTTTGATTTCTCATTCCGAGCCGTTATACATTACAGCTCCTGCACATCCAAGCTTACAGCACCTGGTATTCCCAAGCAGTCACCATCTAGGATCTAACCAGGCTTGACGTTGCTTAACTTCAGTAATCGTATGGCAACTGGTGTTTCATCATAATGTGGTCATAAGTAAGAATTAGCATGCTAATATTAGTTCACATCATCTTCCAAGAAAGTGGAGGGGAATGATTTTTTTTTTTTTTTTTTTTTGGTGGGAGGGTTGCTGATAACTTACCTATAGTTAAAATAGTGTAAGTGTTAAATATTGTTTTTATTAGTTTTGTTGAAACTGACAGTGTGCCTACCTCAAAACACCAGTGATAATTTTGGATGATAAACTGAATTTCACTAGATCCTTTTTTTACCCATCCAATAAAAAGTTTTCCATTTTTGTTTTTATTGAAAGACAATCTTTAAACTAAACACTAAAGGTAAAAAAAAAAGTTAAATGTTTATTTTCTTTCACACATACACACTTTAGATATGAAGGAAAACCCTCTGTTAGTCCAGTAGTGTGTTTGAAACCCCACAAAATATTTTACCTTATTATTTATCAGTTGGTAAGGCAAATGTCTATGATTAGTCAAGTGGCTTTCTGAATACCAATGTCAAGTAACCAAAAAGAGTTTCTGGTTTTAGTCATAATGTTTGTGTTAATACATGCAGTTTTATTTGTTTACTAAAAATAAAATCAAACTTATTTTTGCATATTTGAACTTTTGAAACTTAAACTAATTTTTTAATATTGGCCTTTTGTTTCCTTTTTATTTATCCTATAAAAAAACCCAAAACACTCATAACAATAAAATTAAAAACTAAATGATATATCTATAATATTTTAAATAGGGTGTTTGAACACCCCCCTCACAGTACTAATGGTGTGATAATGTCCAACAGTACTACCAGAGGGTTAAAGAAAACTAAATTTAAAATTTCTATAAATTAAATTCTTTCAGGAGGTAAGATTTTAGTTGAGGAAACAATTATCACAAGAATATCTTTTCAATAAAGAGGAGAAAAACAATCAGTTTAAACAATTTCCTACAATATAATTAAACACACACCCTTTCAATGCAAAGAAAGGATAGAATAACAATAATAATAACAGTGGTAGTGATGACAAAGAAATACAGAGCCCAGACAATCAAGAGAACCAGGAGACTGAACCCGACACAAAAATGTTATTTCCCCTCAGCACAAAGACAACAAATTGGTCAGCACCAAGGGTCTTGTAAAAAGTGTTCAGTATGATATTGAAATTCCCTTCCCACCCACACCATTTTTATTTCCACAAGTTTTTTTAAAAAAAAAAAAAAAAAAAAAAAGGTTGTCTTTTCCTTTCCCAGATGTTCACTAGTTCTCTCCAGGGTTCATTCAAATCAGCACTTTTTACCCCCTACCCAACCCATCACTGGATCAAACTAGTCTCAGGCCACAAACCTTACCAAATCTGCCTACCTTTGTCTAAGAAGTGTCATTTTCTTTTGATTTGACAGTTGTAATTGAAAGTAATTCATTATTCTTTTTTGTACTCGAGGACGGAGGAGGAGGTTGTGGAGAATTGGCTGGCTTGGTATCTGGATTCTTTTCTTGGGCGGAGTATGTAATACTGTATCCATAGGGCTTCAAGTGATAGACTAAATATTCTAAGACATACATCATGTTTGGTGGCACGTAGTGAAAAGTGATTGCATGGTCACTACAGCAATTGGGACCCTGTCAGGAGAGAAAGAAGACAAGATGTTAGAGGACTTAATTAAATACAAAAATTGAAGAGATTAAACAGTCATTCAAAAAGAAAAAAAAATTTAGATTTTGTGAATATTTCAATGTTCATTTACAAAGTGACATCTTTTATGAAAGCTTATGGAGAAAAAAATAATAATGGAGAATTAAAACATAATATATAACGAGATCTCCATGTAGAAACACAGTGTTTAAATAAGGAAGGCAAATATTAATGGTTTATGATAATTAAAAAAAAAAAAAAAAAAAAAAAAAAAGAGAATACACACACATACACACAACCACACACAAAAAAAACACATGCACACATACAAAATACCACATGACACCACAAAAACAAAAAACTACACACACGCACAAACAAACAAAACACACTAAATAAAAAAACCCCAAGAAACACAAAAAACACACACTAAAAAACAAAGTAAACACACACACACAAGAAACCCCCCCCAAAAAACCCCAGACACAAAGAAAACAAATCTGTGAGCACACGCACAAATGCAATGCAAAAATAAAAATAAATTTCTATGAGTAGAAAAAGAGAGCTAAACCATATTAAACCAGACCATAATAGGATCCACTTTTCACACGATAAATGGATGCCTGACTAATCTGGCATTGTGCCAACAAATAAGGCTAATAAAACTTTGTGTCCCAACTTTGGTTCAGATTTGTGCCATTGTTGATAAATGAGAAAATATTGACAAGAATAATTATTATTAAGCAAGAGATTAAAGCCTCAGAGATTGAAATTTAGTCATAATGCTCTGGACAGCTGTGGCCAGAGATGGACACTGTCCACATTTCCCAACGAGGAAAGAAAAAAAAATACTTAATGTAAACAAATGAAGGGATTTATTAAACAATATGGAAATCACCCGACGAAGTGGGAAAGAGTAGACAGGTAATAAAATCACAATATATAAGCAGTAAGTTTATCCAATATTGCCAGGGAGAAAATATAGTATTCATGCATCATAACTGCTAATGAATAGCACAGCCATTAACTCCACTGTCTAGTGGTAACTTTTGAAAGAATTATCAAAATCCTTTGGTTGCCAGCAACAAGTCAATGACAAGGAATAAAGACAGGATAGATGATTTTATTTCAAGTATTTTTATAGACATGAATGCGGTTGGGTAGTTTCAAGGTATATGTCATTGCCTAATGACAACTGTAACCAATTTGAAACCCTCTTTTCAGTACCAGATTTTAGCTTAGAACAAAAACACAATAAGCTGAGTACAAATTACATGTATAAGAGTATGAATTCATCTCTTCTTCCCCTCAGTTATGAGTTAAATAGTAAGGCAGCCTGGGCTCTTTCGCATTGGTTAGCAAGCAGTCTTGGAGAAGGACAAAACCAGTTAGGCATGAGGCTAGCAACTCTATCCCATGAATACCTACATGCTACAGAAACCACAGCAACAATGCCTAGTATATGGAGGCTGTGGTCCCATACATCACAGTTGGTGTCCACTGGACAAGTGAGCGAGTTAACAAGAATTGCTTTCAGCTCTTGTGAGATCATCTTGGAGAGTTTTTCAACAAGGAGCTTTCAAGCTTTATATAGCTTAGGGTGTCATCAAGTCACTGTGTGTACTTTGAGGTAAGTTCAAAGTAGCTGTTAATCGAAGCTGAATTGAAGATGGTTACATTTTTGAATATTATGTCAATTTTTGTGGAACACCTAAGAAATGTTGAACCAATTTGGAATCCTTAAAAGATCTTGGCAAACTTGTACCTTTGTGCTTGTTAAAAAAAAAAAAAGAAAAAAAAGAAAAGGATAGTTTTTCTTCTTCGACACCACAATTATTTTAACTACCTTACTCCTTGGAAATGCTTATCGTTTCAAAAAGTGATGATTAGAATTGTATTACAACAAAAATAATAAACATTATTTATTATATCGTTTATTATAAATAATTTTATATTCACAACATTCTGAAAACTAATACAATTACAACTAATGCAATGTAATATTTATTATTTACCAATTTATAAAGAAATGTGAAAAAATTTTATTTATGAATTTATAAACATTTAATAAATTATTAAAATATATGAAACTATAAGGAAATCCTTATTATTTACCATTTTATAACATGCAATTGACAATTAGCCAATGTTTTGCTAACCATCCCAATGAACAATATAATAAATAGTGTACATAAACAATCTAAGTCTTTATTTTTGTTGTAAATTCTCAAGAACAATGAAAATGTATAAATTCACTTTCATCATACGTTTAGGCTTTATTACAATTCTAATCATTGCTTTTTAAAACAAACATTGCCAAGGAGTGAAGGTAGTTAAAATGATAGTTTTTTTTTTTTTTTTCCTTCACACCACTATCATTTTAACATTTGTTTTGTGATCATGAAGATCTAAATTTGCCAAGATCTCGATAAGAAGAGACAAAGTAGCCACTTGAGGCATCTATTTACTTAGCTGCTGTAGGTTCCTATATTCTGTCCGTGTGTTTTAATTCTTAACCACTCAAAATCTCATCATTTTCAATGCTACTATAATAATAAAATAATGACTGCCCACATCAGAGTACACATGTCTGTTTGGGTGACTTGTTAATCCTTGTTGCAGATGCACGTTTATGTTTCTTCAACACCCACAGAAACCAACCTGTGCTTTATACTGCAACAATACAGAGCAAACCTTAGTTACAGTTTCTGGTAGAGAGTACATAGTCTGGCATGATCAACAGTCGGACATGACCAGTATGCTCAAACTAAGTCATGATGACTTGTGACTTTGTGCTAGTACAACCATCAACCAGCCTTGGATAAAAAAAAAAATATATATAGTTTTTAGGGACCTCCCTATGGGGTTGCATGCTGAGATTGTTCTTGACAAATTGACCATTGTGAGATTCAAACCTAAGTTTCAGGATCAGAATACTAACATTTTAACCACTCAGCCATGAACACATTACATTATACAATAACCCTGTTTTAGATTTTTAATTCCCGACTATAGACAATCCTTTTATATCTGATTTTCAATGCATTTCTATCAAAATCATCAGCAATGTAATTTACATTATGCAATCTTTGTTGGGCCTATGGTAGAGAAAGTCTGAAGTCATGGAGGTACAAAACTTTATGACCCCAGAATAGATATCACTGAGAAAGCATTTTGGTTTGCAATATATGCATGTAAAATAAATAGCTCTATTCTGTCAGTAATCGTTAACAATAATTTTCTTCATGGTTTCCAATATCTAACATACAGACATAGTGGGTAAATTTTCTAAGACTACTAAAGATCTGTGAGAGAATGGTAAAGCAGTAGCAAAGCCAGTGGGTACCAGAGAGTAAAGCAATATAGCTAATTTCTAAAATAAATGCAAGTGTTAAAGTTTCCTCCACAACTGTTTTTGCAGTGAGAAGCACACATGGTTATCTACTTAGAAAATAATTTCACAGAACAGTTATCCAAAATTTACCACTAAGTAAAAATTCTAATTTTAAAAACCATGATAAAATAAACTATGAAAATAAAAAAAGGTTAAAATTTACTGATCATTAACTGCACATACACACATATTTTATTTAAATAAAATTAAGCAGTCTACATTGAAAATTTTTCAGATAATTTTTTTTTTTTTTTCTACACATTCTTTTTCAGTGAAACAATGAGGCTGGGTTGAGGTAGGAAATAGGTCACTTACAAAACAGAAAATGGTTGCCAACACAAAGGTAAAGAGAGAGAATAAAAAATCTTTAATCATCTTTCCAACCATCCTGGGTATGACAGTAAACTACATTCGCATCCTGAGTATGAAGATAAGCTACGTCCAACAGCAAGGCCTCTGATCAGGAGGTTTTGAGGAGCCTGAAACCACCTCTTAATTGCTGGTGTTACCAGGTCCGCCCTGACCCAGGGTGGTAGCACCTGTTGGGATCCCAGCTATGGGCAAATAGTTAAAAACACTATGAAAATGTAAAAATAGTTTTTAATACCAGAAATAGTTTGCAAAAAAAAAATATTACCAGCAATACATTTTTGAAAAAAGAAAAAAAAAAGTTACCAGTAATAAAACTTTTGTTGGTATTAAATAAAAAACAAACAAAACCAATCATCTTTCCAAACACCTGAAGATTATCAGAGAACAGATTGGCTGAAACAGTGTGCTTAAAAAAAAAAAAATGACAATAAAAAATTTAACATTCTAGCTTTTACCTGGGTTTGAATATTAGCCACTGATGATACAAGTTAAAATATACAACCATCTCAGACACAAAGGTCCTAACTAGTGTAATGAAGTAATTTTGAACAAGCTATCCTTGTACCGCTATTCCTTTCTACAGTACTGACTCAATGAGTGCTCCACTATTATAGCCTTTTACCAAACTAAGCCAAGTAACAATCTACAACTATGCTAAAAACATTAACAAAGTCATGTTTTCTACAAAATGACAAACACTGGATAGTTTAATTGAGCAACTGGTGACAAATTAGAAAGTAAATGATAAAAAGGGACATTTATACAGGTTGTTTCATTACATTCACTTAGGTACAAATACCTTTGGAAAAGGCATGAATCTATTTCTTATCAATGCATTGATTAACAGGATAGACAGGGCTCTATAGCCTTGGTTGGCAACCAGGATACCACAGAAAGAAACAGTTTACTGGCACTTGATTTTAGTTTAGTCTGAAATAGCAGTAATCTACTTTACAAAGATATGGATAGTCAGGTACAAGACAACATGAGTGGGACATCCAGCAAAGACTGAATCTGATTCATTAGCAGTGATTTATTTTACAAAGATTTTGATTGTAGTATAATGGGTCTCCCATACAACCAGCTGGACTCACACAAAGTCAAGTGGGCCCTAAATGATATTATTGGAGTCACAAGTGTTGTAAGTTTTTTTTTTTTTTTAAATGGCTGGAAAATAAAGTCTGAAGTCTTGTGTTCAATTTGGCAACCCACTTGAGTGAA